ATGTATGGAAATTACAGACTCAAATGTATATAAGGATAATCTATGTAAGCTGATATATATTGTGGAAAACTGATAAATAAAACCTTAAAAAACCGGGCTCTCTAGATTAGAGTCCACCGTTCTTAACCACGACACCAAACTGGCCCTGAGGCTTCCACATCACCTATGACCTGGGACCTTTTAGCCGGAGATGCTGGGGATTGAACCTGGGACCTTCCGCACACCAAGCAGATGCTCTGCCACCAATCCACAGCACCTAGGACTCAAATTATATTGCGGGAGCGTGAATGTAGCGGTCTAAGACACCAGCCTTTAAAGCAAGTCAGTCCGACTCTAGGGTTGCAGTGCTCATCTCCGTTTCAAAGCCGAAGAGCCAGCGCTGTCCGAAGACGTTTCCGTGGTCATGTGGCCAGCATGACTAAACACCAAGGCGCACGGAACGCTGTTACCTTCCCACCAAAGTGGTACCTATTTATCTACTTGCAATTTCTTGCTTTCGAACTGCTAGGTTGGCAGGAGCTGGGGCCAGAGACGGGAGCTCACTCCGTCATGCGGCACACTCGGGTCTCGAACTGCTGAATTACTGACCTTCCACAGCCTGCAGTTCAGCGTCTTAACCACTTGAGCCACCGCAGCTCAAGTGTACACTATGTACAAGGGTTTTATTCACAATATATACAGACAAACTAATTCGCCAGACACTCGGTTCATCAGAAGAGAATGTACATGTCTGCTATACATTGGTCTGCTGTATACATCGGTCCACCAATCAGCTACAAGCTGAGTCATGGTGACTGCACACCGTCCAGTGCCAGCTATAACCAATCAGAACCAGGCTTATCTCACCACCTGCTGACAGGTAGCTGTCAGTTTGCTGTGTGGTAGATCATACTGATCTTCCTACTGGAGATTAATCTTACAACAAATTATGATTCAAGGAAATATTAGTCTAGCTCCACAACCCCCCCAGCCCCGGTGATGCTAACAGCAGAAGAATCTACAGCTATTGCCTGACAGCGAAGAGATCAAACTGTAGGCCTGGAAGCCTCCAGATCTAATCTCCACACAAGCCTGGGCTTGTCAGATTGTCTTGGGTGAGCTGCTGTTCGTTTAGCCCCACCCTGAAAAGAGGGGAGGGTGTCAAGTCCTACCTAACAGGGCTGTGGTACGGATCACCGACGTCATGTATGCAGAGCACTTTGAGAGCTATGTAAATACAAGGTATTACGACATGAGCTGCAAATACATGCGTGTCAGTGTTCCCTCCAGGCTGCGTTAGTGTGAGCCAGCTCACAGTTTTTTAGCCTCCGGCTCACACCTTTCTGTCTTAGCCCAGGAAGGACGGCTCCAGAGCAAACTGATTTATGCAGCCCGCTCACATCTTTCATGCCAGTAGCTCACAAAGTGGGATTTTTGCTCAGAAGACCCCACAGCTTAGAGGGGAGCACTGATGAGCGTCACAACAGGACTTAACGCAGGTAACCCAGCTCAGATAAAAAGAAGCAGTAATGAAGACCCGGAAGCGTCAACCTTTCCCAAGTTTTCTTTCCTTTGCATGCCGTGGAATTACCTTCAGGGGAGAAGATCGTAGTTCTGGAATCATATCTTCGTGACTGCAAAGAAGGATTTGGTTTTCCCATTACTCATTTTCTGAAGTGTAACACTTTTTTTTTTTTGACAAGCGCATCACTGATCAGATTTAGGTCTGGCTCTTTGGCCATTACATAACGTACTTTCGAACCAGCTTAAAACATTTCTTAAAAGACAGTATTTCATCTTCATTCACCATTCCCCATCCCCAAATGCCCAACCTGTTAGCACCCCACTGATCTGCTAGACTGTGACAAATATGAGGAGCAGAGGTCCATGAGTGACTATTAGCTACAAGGTCTAGATGGGACACTCTGTCTGGGGCAGTGATACTCTGCATTCTTGGTGCTGGGGGGGGGCCCACAGTGGGAGGGCTTCTGGAGTTCTGGCCCTGCTGGTGGACCTCCCGATGTCCCCTGGGTTTTGGCCACCGTGTGACACAGAGTGTTGGACTGGGTGGCCCCTTGGCCTGGTCCAATGTGGCTTCTTTTATGTGTGGGGCAGTGAATGCTCAGTATTTTTGGTGCTTGTGGGGCAACAATGGGAGGGCTTCTGGAATCCTGGCCACAACGGTTGACCTCCTGAGGTCCCCTGGGTTTGGTGTTTTTCAGATAGTTTGATCCTCAGTCCTAAAAATAAACCTCTCTTCAACAGGAACACCCACGCGCCATCCCTTGCATAACCGAATGCTTACAAAACTTAGACAGATATACTCACCATGTTGCTTGCAGGCTACACTCTGCTGTAAGAACAGAAACAAGACAAAGCAGTTAAATCTTACTCCGTGGCATCTCACGTACTGTTGCACGATTTTTGTTGTCATTTTTTTACCAGCGAATAAACCGGAGAACAGGCTGACACTCAGCGCTTGGGAAGAAATGAAATTTCTCTAACGTATTAACAATGTTATTTTATAATATAATATTCTATAATAACACATCCACATTGCTACATATTTTTTCTTCCATAGGTACAGAAAAAAAGAAGCAGGTTGACGAAAACTCCCCGGAGTCGGCTTTTGTTTCGTTCACAACTTCATCCGAACACGCTGAAGCACCGTGGTAGTTTCTCTTGAAAACCTACTGTTCATAGTGTCTTCCGATGATGTTCCATGCCATAATTTCAAATACTCAAGTGCAACCTAATCCATTTTACTGGAGAATCTTGTCCCGGGCATACAAACAAATCAATCCGTGTGTTTGGATGAAGTTGTGAACGAAACGAAAGCCAGGCTTGCCCGGACGCCCTGTGGGTGCAGGGAGCCCAGGCAAGCCGACGCTTGGACAGGCTGGGGAAGGCACAGGGAGGTCGTGGGGGGGGGCTGTCGCTCTCCAGGCCTTCTGTAGCCACGCATGCAGAGGTTTTGGCTGTAGTGGGCGTGGCTAACTCTGAAGCCAGCCGGAACTCCGTCCCTGTGCGTTCCTGCCCAAAACTAGCCAACCATGATGATTTGATAGGAAAAGACATCCTTATGGGTAACCGTGCTGAAACATTTCTAGCAATAAGCAGACCAGTCTTTGAAGAGAGACATCAACAGTAGAGCATTTTAGAAGAATAGTCCTCATTTCAGAATGTGAAAGCCTGATATAAATTTCACAGTGTGCGTCTGATCCCAGGAGAGTGAAAGCGAAACCAGAAACACGCACACCCTCAAGGACATTTTAAGTGCTTTGCTTATTAAGCCCTTTTGTCCACACGGAGTTGCTTGAATGTCACTAAAAAGTTGTTAACACTGCTGTCTGCCCAACACTTAAATGCACATTTATGGGTGAAATTCAGAGCTAATCCGTTAGCTGCTGCCAGCACAGAACCAGAACATACAGGGTTACACTGTACAAAATGGTTCACAA